CTGTATGTGTTATTGTAGGGTCGACCTTACAGTATAAAGCTCCTTCAGGCGACTGTTGTTGTGATTTGATGCTGTGTAAATAAAACTGAATTGAATGAAAGCAAACAGAATTGGCCCATCGTTATTTAAAACGACTTACAGTTTAATTGTTCCTCCTGTCTTGAATTGTTGCTGCCTTATTCTCGTGTCCCGGAGCGTTTGTAGGTAAATATAATTACTTTGTGCTGCCAACTTTTAAAATCACGAGTCAGCTGATGATTTTGAAGTCCTCGTTGTTTTTCACAGCACACACACCGGGATGACGGATTACCGACAGTTTGTCGTCGACGTTATTTTCTCGTTTTGCTGCGAGTGTCTCTCCTGCCGTGCTGACGGAGACGGGGCGTTACGTAATGGGAGGGATAAGTCGAGGTCTCCCAGCCGCTCTGTGCGGCCAGATGCGAAAGGCCTCTTCTCTCTGTCTCTTCGTGTCGGCTTCACGGAGCCGTGTTGTTGCATAATCAGAGAGCTAGTTATAAATAATTCTGTCAGCGCTTCGAACCGATCCTCACCAGGACGCTTTTTAGCACCGTGGTGGGTGAGAGCGGGTGACACGTCGTTAGGATGTCCAGATGAGCGCAGATGTTGAATCCTGTGGGGTTTGTGGGAGCTGCTGCCTCCATAAGAAACATCTGCAGCATTTCACCGTATGGCTGTTTACTGGGCAGAAATACAGACATGCCGTGCACGCTCTGCTCCAACGCTGCCAGGTACAGAAGGATATCTCCAGCAGCTGACCATAATCCGTCAGCTGATTAGTAGGGCGGGATCAATATGCGCTCAGTGCCTCTGTGAGGAAGGTTTACGCCATGTATGTGGGATTTCTTCTTCCCTCAGCTCTCTGCGTGTAAAACTTTGGATTTTGTGGCACATGGAGGCTGTTGCCATGTGGCTGCAGCCACTCGTGTCTCAGAAAGAGACGCGAGTGTCAGGCTTTCTGAACTCCTGAGAAGCTCCGCCTCTTTTTATACCTGATAACTGTTTATGATTACGGCCAAAATGATAAAATGTTCCTCCAGCTGTTTTGTTTTTAGTAACTCTTACTTTTGTTGCTTCTTGAATTCCCACTGATGGAATGTTCAAATCATAACATCCTATATTTATGCTTTTCACACATTCTGCCAACTTTTTCGGGTTGCGGTTAAATGTGCAACCCGTGTCATGATGCATGAGTAACAGGTCAGTATAATCAGCAGGGAGTGTTTCTGATTGGCTGAATCTCCACCAGCTGGCACACATGCACCGAGTTCTGGGTGAGACTGTGTGCGTGCGTGTGTGTGTGTGCGCATGTGCGTGTGTGTGTGTGTGTGTGTGCGCGCGCGTGTGTGTGTGCGTGCCAGTTATTGAGCAGCTCACTTTAAATGAATGCCGTCTGAATTACAGTAAACATATTCAGCTGCTCCCTGGAGGTTCCTTTTGCATGCGCGATGGTACTTCCAGATTAAAGGCTCATCCATTATTGATAAGGATCAGCTCTTATGCTGTGCCGTCTCCATCACTTGTTACTGTCCTGTTGTGTTTCAAAGCAGCAGAAAGCCAGAGGAGGAGGAGGAGGAGAGATGGTGAGAGTTGTGAAGAGAGGCGAGGCGAGCAGAACCAAAGATTGGGAGAGGTATCGCTACAGCAACCTAAGCAGCTTAACGTCTGATTGAAGATGCTGCAAGCCGACAGCTGAGCGTGTCACTGTTAGCGGTACGGTCCAAAGAAAGACGGCGGGTCACACGATGACTCTGCAGCGCCTGTGGGCACGTGCACAGTTTTGGGTTTAATGCACCTCTGTCTCTGTAAAAACGGTCCTCTCCCATCTTTAGCCTGCGTGACTTCAATCCACAGCTGGATGTTGGAAGGCTCGCGTGCAGACAAGGAACCGAGAAATGTAATAAGTTACCACCGTCAGACGGGCCCTGATGGACCTGAGACACACACACCCTACATGATGCTGGCACGTGATGAAATCAGACACATGCTGCTGTTTGTTGTGTTCAGATGTTTTTCATCTCTGTTCAGGCTGAAAGCCTGAGCTTTGGTGTGTTGGTTTTATTTGCAGCTGGAGGCGTCACACCTGGCTGACAGGTATGATGTCACACAGATACCTGCCGATCACTAACATCCTTTAACATCCTAGAATTTAACGGTGCACCAAACTGGGCGTCTATGGGCCTGACTCCCCGCTGCCTCTGGTGGACATCAGAGGAACTGCAGGTGCTTCAGCTTGGCTTCATGCTGCAGCTGTTAGGTATAAATTCAGTGAACGCTACCTGAATGCTGACATGTGGTGTTTTAATGTCGCATGAACTATTATAGAAGTTATTAAAGAAACTATTCCTGCAAACAGGCGATGATACGGTCGGCCTCAGCTTGTGATTTACGGGACCTGACTGAACAGTGAGAGGAGGCTGCTGACCTGCTGCTGTTTTCTTTTTGTGTCTGAGGTCTAAATGTTGCTCTCGTCTCCCTCAGCTCATTTCAAATGAATGAGTTGCAAACTGTTTGTCCTCATGCCTTTGCTGTCGCTGCTGCTGCATCTTTATTGGAGGAGCTGAAAGCGCGATCGAACCCACGGTAAACAACCACGTCGTGTCCCTGAGACTGTGGGAGCTTCGTCCCCGCTGGGCTAAATGGAAGATAATCCAAATGCCACGGTGAAGGTTGATGATCCTGAATCATTTGTGTGTGTGTGTTGTGTGTGTGTGTGTCTTTGTTTGTTGGTGTGTGTGTGTGTGTGTGTGTGTGTGTGTGTGTGTGTGTGTGTGTGTGCTGTGTGTTGTGTGTGTGTGTGTGTCGTGTGTGTGTGTGTGTGTGTTTGTTAGACAGTATGACCCATGTTGTGTGCAGAGTTATTTTTGGATATGTTCCCTCTTGTCCCAACTGACAAACACACACATGCACAGGAGCAGTTTCAGGATCATCAGGCTTTACCTTGGCATTTACTACCCATTCACCCCAGAGTACACGCACACAGACACACACAGACGCACACAGACACACACAGACACACACAGACGCACACAGACCTGTATAGTTAGTGTTAATTTAATGCTAGCAGTGATGATTGTAATTAACTGTGATTAACATGACGATATCCTGTGACATTAATGGGTCTGCAGCACACGCATACATCACTTACATGAGAGGACAGCTCATCAGCCAACACACATCTCACGCAGTGTTAGAGGAGCGCACTGAGCAGCTTTGCTCTAAGTGTGCACATGCATAATAAATACATAATAAACTCACTAATTCAGTGAATTGTTGACTTTATTCTATGACTTTAAAATTGTAATATAATTGTCGGACACTCTGTTGCTACAGTAACGTCACAGCAGCCATGTGATTGGTCACATGATGCCATTAAAAACGCTCCAACAGCACAAACACATCCAGAGGTCCAGTAGACGTGAAGCTACAGCTACCTGTGTCACCATCCACCTGTCAGTCAAAGAGGCCACGCCCCCTAATAATCCAGACTTTAAGCTTTAATACGATTTAAACAGGTGAGTTATATAAATACATGTACGGATGTCCTGAAGCTATAGATCAAGAATTTTATAGTTCACTAAAACTAGATGTGAATAAAACTTTTAGTTACATTTACTGAAAAACTAGACTTAAAATAATTGTTAGCTTTAGGCCAGTAAACTGTAGCCCCTACAATAACACATGCAGAGAAAACCCAACAATCATATGACCCCCTATGAGCAGCACTTTGGCGACAGTGGGAAGGAAAAACTCCCTTTTAACAGGAAGAAACCTCCGGCAGAACCAGGCTCAGGGAGGGGCGGGGCCATCTGCTGTGATTGGTTGGGGTGAGAGAAGGAAGACAGGATAAAGACATGCTGTGGAAGAGAGACAGAGGTTAATAACAGATATGATTCAATGCAGAGAGGTCTGTTAACTACATAGTGAGTGAGAAAGGTGACTGAAAGGAAAAACTCAATGCATCATGGGAATCCCCCGGCAGCCTACTGTCTATTGCAGCATAACTAAGGGAGGATTCAGGGTCACCTGGTCCAGCCCTAACTATATGCTTTAGCAAAAAGGAAAGTTTTAAGCCTAATCTTAAAAGTAGAGATAGTGTCTGTCTCCTGAATCCAAACTGGAAGCTGGTTCCACAGAAGAGGGGCCTGAAAACTGAAGGCTCTGCCTCCCATTCTACTTTTAAATACTCTAGGAACAACAAGTAGGCCTGCAGAGCGAGAGCGAAGTGCTCTAATAGGGTGATATGGTACTACAAGGTCATTAAGATAAGATGGGGCCTGATTATCTGATTAACTACAGCTGTTCTGGGGTTGCACAGTTTTGCCTGTAGTTTTTCTTCATGTTGTAAAAATTGCTGTCACAGCTTCACCGATGATGATTTTATGGACGTGATGTTTGTTTTTTGTTGTGATAAGTCCTAAAAACAATAATACTTAAAAAGACTAAAACTAAAAGTAACTAAACTGAGTTAAAAACAAAGATCAGGTCAAAGCTGTCGTTAGTCTGCTCCTGTATCAGGCTGTAAACATGTTAACTCTGGGCTCGCCTGATTGGTTTATTCCCACAAACACATCTGGACCAGCTGCTGTGTCATCACTGCAGACTCGTCTGTGATGTTAGAGTGGTCAGATCCTTTCGTGCACGCTCTGCAGACGCTCACAGCGCTCCACAGCTTGTGGTTTCCACCATTTCCTGCAAAGGTCAGAGAACAAATGTGAGCTTTTATGTGAAAGCTGATCAGAAGTGACACGGTCAGCGACTCCCACGGTTCAGCTGCGGTGATGCACTGAATTATGATTGAACTTTATTGTGGAGGGAGCTTTTTGGAGGCGTCGTCCTCGGCGTGTTTGAATCTGCTGTCCAATGCTCATCGAGTGTCAATAAGTGGAGTCAGATTCATAACGTAAGCGTTTAATGTTGGCAGAGAAGTAAAGTCCTCGTGCTGCGGCGATGCCGTGACCATTACGTGTGCTGTGTTTCAGTGACAGCGTGGCTCGATGTAAGGAGCTGGACCATGCTGTGAGGACACGCCAGGTCCCGATGTCTCCCTCTGACTTCCTGGACAAACTGATGGGGAGGACTTCTGGCTACGACGCCCGGATCAGACCGAACTTCAAAGGTAACTACAGAGACGTCCGTGTTTACTGCAGGAAGTCGTTTGGCCTGTGAGGAAACGTGCTGACGCGTGGCGGGCCGAGCTGCTTGATGCAGACGGCTCCCGGCGTTCGTGACTGAACTTTGAATCAGCTCCACGTCTGCAGCTCCGGCTTCACAGCAAGCCGGCTAAACATTCATGATTACTGATTATGAAACACCTGCAGCCGTGTCACCTCCACTTTCTCCTCCTTCAGACGCAGAAACACACCAAGCTGCCACAACCGTTAGGACACACACAGCGCCTGATTTTATTCATGCGCTCCACATCAGTTCATCCAAGAACCGTTCTAACAGCGACTGCTGCAAAGAGAATAAGTAATATTACTGGAGAGCACATTCCCACCAATCAGAGAGCGTGTTTGTGTTTGTTTCCACGCATGGACGCTCATCTTCTGTCCGAGTCTGTCGAGCCTACGAATGAGTGAGAAGCACAAACGTCCTCTCTGCTGTGTGAACATCACACACATCTGCAGAGACATGAACATGGAGGTGAAGGCGGGACTTCCTGTTGAAGTAAAGATTAATTTACAGTTTAATGCAAACTGGATTTAAAACGATGTTGATGATTCACTTTCTGCCTAAAAGAAGAAAAACATGAGAATAATCTGCATTTCGTGTCTGGCGTGTCCCACAGCTTCGGTCTGTCTGAACTAACCTCAGACTGATGTGAAGTCTAAAATATTTCTCACTGATTGTTCAGTCACGAAGTCTTTCCTTTGACTTTCATAACTTCCTGCAGTCGCACCTGCGCTCTTTACTAAATGAGTTTTCATGTGTCTGCACATAAAAGTTTTCATGTGTCTGCACATAAAAACTCATAAAAACTTCTGCAAATCTGACACAAAAACAGTGACTTTGATTTAAAAAAGCACTTCTGAGAACATGAATGTATGTGCTGCGACAAACGTTTGCACAAATGTTCAGAAGCTTCACTAAAACCTCCAAAGCTCCTGAACATCAGAGCAGACAGGATGTAAACCACAACTGGTTGGCCCAGGCATGCGATCTTTTCACACATTCCTCCACCCGTTGCTGTGCAGCTAAGACGGAGGCAGACGTGCTGGACGCATGCTTCATGGTTCAGCTGTGGTTCAACGGCTGCAGGCACAACTTAAAACACGTAATCCTTCATACGCTCAAGGAACGTTTTAGTATCTCTATATATAATGTGTAAACACACACACGTGTCGAGTATTCATATCGTAGTGAGAACGTCTAACCCTGAACCTAACCATCACCTGTAACTGTAACCCTGACACTAAACCACATTTAGAGTCTAAAAGATGCCTTCAAACTTGTGCGGACCAGGACCCCACAAAGATATGAATACACGCACACACACACACACACACACACACACACACACACGCACACACACACACACACACCTACACACAGCAGACGTAGACTGACTGTTACTGGCTGGACTGGTGTACATGCACCCAAACCAGTCCTGTAATCAAACACACACAGGAGGGAGGAGGTGGGCGGAGGATGAAGCTGACGCATGTCCTTGTCTCTCGGCAGGTCCTCCCGTCAACGTTTCCTGCAACATTTTCATCAACAGCTTTGGCTCCATTGCTGAGACGACCATGGTGAGTAACAGCTTCATGTTTGTAAAGCAGTCATAAACATATTGTAGCTTCCTCCACCTCTCAGGAACACTGGACACCGTCAGGTGTTGTTGCTGCTGCACTTTGCAGCGTGTGTTAAAGTCGCCGTTGGTCCTTGACTGCTCGATAGAATACATGAGTGCACAGGGAGAGGAAGCTGTCGGGCTTATTCAGCTCAGACATCACCAAACGCACACCGAGGGCAGTATTAGTAATTTAAGCCTTTCATTCCTGATTAGTGAGTATTGTCGGCATGTTCTCATTCTGAGAACAGGAAACGCGGCGAGGTGTCATGCTCCATGACGCACGGCAGCGTCATTTTTCAGTGTGCACGCTCAAACCACGATCGCTGTCACAGGTCAGAGGTCATCGTTCTCTAAAAATGTTTGACCCGTCTTCATCACTTCCATCTCTGGACCAAATCACAGCCACAGTCAGGACTCCCACAGAAGGCCTCTGTGTAATCAGGATTCATGAGTCTCACTCAGAAAAGATGCTTTTATTGTTTTAAGTCCAATCAAACGAGCTGCAGTGTCAACAAGAGCTTTCTCAGAGAGACGGTGACTAACCAGAGCAGGTCTGTGTCCGTGCTGGGAACACTGGGAGCTGGCTTCGCTTCCTGATGATGTGATTACTGTGAGCTGCGCTCGCACACCCTGCTGCGGTGATGCTGAGGTCCGGGCTCTGCAGGGTTGCTTTCACTGCACTGGCGCTGTGTGAAACACCAAGCCTCTGCCAATCAGAGGCTTCCGTTAGGCTCCCTGTTGTCGTCCGTCTGAGCTCTGCATCCGTCTGTCTTCAGTCTCTGTCCCCGGTCCTGGTGTCACGCTCACGCGTCGTAAACAGAGTCTCGCTGTGCGTTACTTCCTGCTTTATTTTGTTAGTCTCCTGTCTCGTGTGAGGCAGTTTTGCTTGCTCTGTGTCGTTAGTTAGATTTAGTTCACCTGAGTTCTCAGGTGTGTTCCAGCCCTCGGTGTCCTCCGGCTGTGTGTCCCGTCTGTTTCGTTTCCTGTGATTTCTGCTCAGTGCAGTTCCTGGTTTCTGTTCAGCGATAAAGCTGTTTTGTGTTCTGCAGATGTCCACGTCTGCCTGCACACGGAGCGTATTTTCAAGTAGCTGATGTCCAAAGAAGGAGAGCTGCGGCTCAAGGCCACCGTAGAAAACATAAAACTGTGTGGCTCCTGTGCAGCACAGTGTTGTGTGATAAGAGGATTGTATATGGTAGTTAACTTGTAATCAGTATTTAAAGGCCAAATAATCAGTTAAAGAAAAGCTTCAAACTGCGAGCAGACAGGAAGTCACGGTGACGAGTGGAGACGATGACAGAGCGAGGCAGACAGAGACAGAAATCAGAAGAGACAGACGAGCAGACAGGAATAGCAGATGTGCGCCGCGGGCATTTACCGAGTCTGACAGCAAATACTTTAAAGTGACGTGAAGGCGGTCCGCCGTGCACGCGAGCTGCTTTGTACACCGATACGATACGCGCACACGAACGCGGCTGCAGACCAGGATCGGGTTTCGTGGTCACTTCAGAGCGTCCGGTTCAAATGTCCCCGAATGCTCCGAGCGATGCACGTGGCCTCTGACGTTCAGGCAATAAAAGCATTTTTTCATCAGTTTTGTAACCTGTGAAAGTCACTCCAGCTCCTCCAGGATTTAGGAGTGCTGCAGAGCTGTCCCACCCTGTTAGGAGTCCCCCCGCCCGGCGGCAGGACAAACAAGAGTGCACTCGAGGAGACGCTGGTGGAATAAAGTAGCTGTGATTTCTTCCAGGATGTCGTGCATTCATACTTTATCAGCTGAGACATAAATTTACAACAACCATGGTGATTTCTTTCCCCTTAAAACACAATGCATATTCAGAACTTCACTCTGCAAATGTAGTATTAATATTTATTTTGGTTTGTCTGTCATTAAAAGCATCCGTGACATCACGACTCGCTGCACACAAACGATGCTCAAAGTCAGAAAACATATTCAGAGAGTAGAAGCAGGAAGAGGAAACAGGAAACAGGAAACAGAGTGGGACTCCTGCAGCAGCAGTGCTGAACCTTTCTCATCCCTCGTCATGTAAAAACTGCCTGAAAGCCTTCAGGCTGCTGACAGGTGGCCCTGAGTTATGCTGCTACAGGCTCAGGCCGCTGGGGGACTACCCATCATGCACGGGGCTTTTCTTTTCACACTTCATGTTTTTCACGTTATTAACCTTCATCTTTTTTGATCTGTCCGCGTCTCCCCTTTTCTCGTCTCCTCACTCCAACTGTTGGAGTTTCTTCCTGTCAAAAGGGAGTTTTTCCTTCCCGTTGTCACCGATTGCTGCTGCTACGGGGTCATGTGATCGGACTGTCTGCTTATCTGGTTAACAGTTTTAAAGTGATTACTAATAAAAACTGAAGCACTTGATGGAAAAAGGAAAAACGTTGCCTCATCTGCTCGTCACAGAGGCGGTATCTGTGGGTTTGAAACGAGGGAGCCTTGCTTTAGGCGCCTGTAAACCCACAAACGTCTGAGACTTTACATCTGTAAATATAAGGTGTGAAATATTTCTGTGGTCTGAACTGCTCTGACACCGGGTCACTTCCTGTGGTGTTCCTGCATAATTATCTGAGCAGAGCTGGTCGAGATCCGCGGAGCGCTCTCGGAAGATGGATGGACGAGCTGATGGATGACTGAAGCGACAAGGTCTAAGTGCTTTGTGCACCGCTGGGAGCTGCTCTGATGGAGCCCTGTGTGTGTGTGTGTGTGTGTGTGTGTGTGTGTGTGTGTGTGTAAAACACAAACACACAAACACACACAGCAGCACACACACACACACACACACAACACACACAACGACTCTCATAAAAAATTCAGGTGTGTGAGAAAAATAAAAGCAAATGAAAGCAATATCGTACATTATGAAATTTCTCATGACAGTTGTCACAACAGCAGGAAAACACACACACACACACACACACACACACACACACACACACACACACACACACACAACACACACACACACCACACACACACACACAACACACCACAGACACACACACAGAAGAGCTCCGCAAGCGGTGCA